CTCCTGGGTCTGAGGGAGGAGGGGCTGGGGCCTGGATTCCTGGGTCTGAGGGAGGAGTTGGGGGTCTGAACTCCTGGGTCTGAGGGAGGAGGGGCTGGAGTATGGACTCCTGGGTCTGAGGGAGGAGGGGCTGGAGTATGGACTCCTGGGTCTGAGGGAGGAGGGGCTGGGGCCTGGACTCCTGTTGTTCAGGTGGGGACCAGGCCTGGGGACTGCTCTTTCCCTGGGCCCGCTGCCCCCTGCTGCCCCCTGCTGCCCCCTGCTGGCCACTGCACTCTTTCTTCGCACCCTGGAGGACAGACAAGGCTTGGCAGTTTATTTCGGTTTCACAATCCCCTTCCAGCCCTTGGGGCTCCCTTTAGCAGCACATCTCGGTGCCCTGCAGGTGGAGAGAGGAGTGGGTTAGATGAGGTCACCTCCAGGTGGAGAAGGGTGGAGTGAGGTGGAGTGGGCCAGGGAGGGTTACGGAGTGGACTCACCTGGCCTTCAGGCCGGGGCAGGGTCCTGGGGTCCCAGGGCAGCTGGAGGGGAGTTCCCCTTTAGGAGTCTCTGCAATGGAGAGATTTTGAGAGGGTGGTTGATTCCCAGCATCCAACCTTTCCCTCTGCTCCTCTTCCCTGTCCCCTTTGTCTTAGACCTGGGAGTCCCAGGCCACCCTCCAGTCCCTTCCATTTACTCTATGGCCCCCTCCCTGGCCTGGGGGCTGGAGGTGGCTTCCTGCCCGGTTGAGGCCACAGCCTTAATTCTTGGCAAGACAAGAGGGGCCTGAAGTCTGGGGAGGGCCAGAAGTGCCTGGGAGGAGGAGATTGAGAAATGTGTCTGCTAGGCTGCAGCTTGAGTGGATGTCCTTTCACAGGCCCTGGACAGGGGTGACACAGTGGTGGCGGCCACCGTCTGACAGGACCTTTGGCCTTGTCCCTAGTCCATGCTGCCTTTTCCCTCTCACCTCTAACTTGTGTAGGAAGAAGTTTTAGTTTGTCTGTCTGCCTGTCCACCCATGTGTCCATCCCTTCTGCTCACTCATGCGCCCCACACAGTTCCCGAGCCTCTCCAGTGGGTCAGTCCCTTTCTTTCTTTTCTTTCCTTTTTTCTTTTCTTTCTTTCTCTCTCCTTCGTTCCTTCCTTCCTTCCTTCCCTCCATTTCTTTCCTTTCTCCTTCTCTCCCTCCCTCTCTCTCTCCCTTTTTTTCTCTCTCTCCCTTTCTTTATCTTTTTCTTTCTTTCTTTCTTTTTCTTTCTTTTTCTTCTTTCTTTCTTTCTTTTTCTTTCTTTCTCTTTCTTTCTTTTCTTTCTTTTCTTTTTCTGTCTTTCTCTCTCTCTCTCTTTCCTTTTCTTTAAAAAAAAAAAAGAAAAAGAAAAAAAACAAAACAACAGGGGCCAGGCATGGTGGCTCACACTTGTAATCCCAGCACTTTGGGAGGTTGAGGTGGGTGGATCATGTGAGGTCAGGAGTTTGAGACCAGGCTGGCCAACATGGTGAAACCCTGTCTCTATGAAAAATACAAAATTAGCCAATCGTGGTGACATATTCCTGTAATTCCAGCTACTTGGGAGGCTGAGGCAGGAGAATCGTTTGAACCCAAGAGGTGGGGATTGCCATAAGCCAAGATTGCACCACTGCACTCCAGCCTGGGCAACAAGAGTGAAACTCTGTCTCAAAGCAAAACAAAGCAATACAGGGTCTCACTCTGTTGCCTAGTCTGGAGAGCAGTGATAATGACCATAGCTCACTGCAGCCTTGACCTCCTGGGCTCAAACCATCCTCCTGCCTCAGCCTCCCAAAGTGCTGGGATTACAGGCATGACCCACTGCGCCAGGCCAAGGCCTTGTTTTTCGCTCTGAGAAGACAGCCGTGAACAAGACAGAAAACAATCTCTGTCCTGGTGGAGCTGATGCTCTACTGAGCCCGAGGCTTGCAGTGACTGATCAGCTCCTGAAAAAGGATATGTCTCAGAGCATGTTCCGTCTCCTTTAAAGTGCCTGGGAGAGAGAAGATGCCGGGGAGGCCTCTTGGAGATGGGAATGACCCAGCTGATGCCTGAGTGCTGGAAGGATCCAGACAGAGGCTTCAAGTGGGTGGGGGCTTGCTGGCAAGTTAGAAGAGCAGCAAGGGTCCAATGTCGCTGGAAAGGAGGTGGAGTGGGGGAGATCAGAGAGGTGGGGAAGGGTTAGATCCCCAGCCCCAGGTCTTTGGGGAGTGGAAAGGACTTTGGCTTGAGTTCTTGGAACCCTGAGAAGCCAGTGGGGGATTTCTTTCTTTCTTACTTTTTTTTTTTTTTTTT